TCTATATAGAATATGTTGTGTGCAGAATTTTTTAAATAAATATCTATTGAAAAGATAGAGATAATCCACATAAATGGTTAACATTTAAATTTTGGAATTCAAGGTGAGCCTGAGATTCTCAGAATAAGGTAATTGTTAAGAATAGAATATATATCAGGGACAGTCAATATTAGGGGCCTAGGAGGAAAGGAGAAAAGGCAAGGCTAAACATATTTTTTCATTTAGCAAATATGTTTGTGGTTGTAAAAAATACTGCACTTAGAATTTGCAGCTTTAGAAAAATACAGCTTTAGAATTTGTCCCCAAATTATTTTTCATATACATGAAATAGGAGTAGATTCCCTCAAAGGTGTTTTTTGCTCCATAAAATTTTGTGTACAAATGGGCACATGCTGAATTAACTATAATATCCTACCTATTAAATGCTGAAACAAATAAAAATGATAATTGTTTATCGTGTGTTTAATACAAAGCTAAGTGCTGGGTATACTTCCACCTCACCTATCCATCAGACCTACGAACCTCTCAGAAACCAACCCCAGAATCGATGATTTCAAGTCTGAAAATATCTGTTTCTGTGTTAAATGAACCTTTGAAATTGTTTACAATTTCATCTTCAGGTTATACTCTGCATGGTGCTGAAATTTACCTTCTAGCTTTTTGAAAAAATAAAGTTACAAGCCAATCTGGCAGTTGAGGAGAGGACAATATTATGGTCAGGATTTTCAGTAGTTTCCTCAGAGAACTGGATTGATGTTCCCATTATGACACAATGCTGTAAATGCAGCTATTTACTGCTGCCTGCCTGCTATGTACCCTTTCTCTTATTCTTTGTCTATCTCTGAAAATTGTGTAGGGCCAGACTTTCAGTGGTGATCTGAGGGCCTATAATTTTGAGAATGATGGAGGGCCTCCCTCTTAGGGTATAACCATTTCATTCACCTGTATGTCAATAGTGCAGCCTGGTGTAATTGCAGAGAGAGCAGTTTATTCCTTTCCCTTTTCCAGTGAGTGAAAATACCCAATGTGCTTGGAAACCTACTTCAGGGAATGCCTTTACTAAGGCAGTGTCCAAAGGAGGGAACTGATTTGTTTGAGAGAGAGAGAGAGAGGGAGAGAGAGAGAGAGAGAGAGGAGACATGAGAAAAAGAAAATGAGAGAAAGATAGAACATAGTTTATATAACCTTCTATTTCATATTATGAGGTATTCAGGAATTTACTGGAAAAACCAAGCATTACCATCATACAGACTTGATGAGTTTTAAACTTTTCCTATGAATATTATTTTGATCATCCTACTTATTTTACTCACAAGGGTCACTTAACAGAAATGGGGTTACGTGTTGACTTGGCAGAAGTTTTCAGGAAAGACAGGCTTCTTATCTCTAATTTGTATCTTTTTTGGTGGGGGGAAATGGAGTGAGAAGGGGAATCCCCAAGGTATAAACTCCTGATGACAGAACCAATTGAAATTTTTACCAATCTAGTAAAAAGATTGTGGTGTGCACATTTTGTCAGCACCCCTACTTGATTAAAACCAATAATGCTAAACCATTAGGGCCTTGAGGGCAAAATTTAGTGGCCCGGGTGTGTTCCCTCCATACTTTTTTCAGATGTTATTACTGACTTTTCTTCCTGTAATGTGTGTTCCTATCATAGGACCAATATAAAATGCATTTTATCTTTGCCCTGGTTTTTCCTACCTATAAATTAATGCTTTCAGATGTTTATTTCTTTATAGTTGAACTTTCTGTTTTATCTACAGTGAGCATGTATGTTTTTTATACCTAGAATAAGGCTCTTAACTTGTCATCTATATTTGTTCTTTAAAATTAAATGAAATAATGATGGCATTTCTTTCATTATGGTCAGCAACCTCAATATCAAAAAGCATGGACAGGGTTGCATATCATTACATAGTGGGAATTAGAAATGTAGGGACACACTCTCTATATTTAAATGGCAGTGTGTATCTATGATGGGACATTGCCCAATTTTCTCTTAAAAAATATAAAAATTGCTTTTCCTTTTTCTCCTCTTATTCATTTCCTTGTTCTTCTCTATAGAATCAGAATTCCTGGAATGATGGATCTAATGAAACTTATTAATCATCATGAAAAGCTAAGAAGGAGCATTACTGATTTTTTTTTTCTATAAATATGTACTGAACTCTTACCAGGTGCGAGGCACCACCAAAAACACCTACACAGTACCCTGTCCTGCGTACACCTCAGAATCCTACTTTCGGTAACAAGTAAGGTAGACCTGCCCATGAGGCTAGCATTTCAAATGTGATGATTCTTAAATGGGGGGAAGCACCAAGAATTGGGGGTCAGAATAATTCACTAGGTTATCTTAATCTACGAGGATAGTATTCAAAATATATATTGAAAAGTATATTATGAATTTATATTTCTATAATATGATGATATATTTCTCAAATGCAAATTTTAGAGGGTGAAATATTGTAGATTTTGTCCTCAGATGACATGAATAGATCTGATCAAGGAATTTGTGATAAAAATTTTATACCACTCTTCTTTCTTTTATAACCTAGATTTGCCTTAAAAACAAAAAACAACTTGAATTTCAAATCTTTGACCCTGGACTGGCCACACTCCAATTTTTGTATCCTCATCTTTAGTCTCACATCCCAGCCAAAATGTGCCATGCCAAGCTCAAGACCACTTCAAATTCATCTTTTTCTCGACCCCTCTTTCCCACCACAGCCTTTGCCATCTTACCTTCATCAAAGATCCCTGAACCTCCACCAACTTCATGCCTGTATTCTTCTATACTCTCCGTCACTGCTCTGGCTGGAGATTCATATTTAGAAACCATTTTTTAATCAGGTAAGAGCCAAGCATCATAGAATTATCACAGGTATTATCATCTGTTCTGTGATCAAGAAACAATTATCACCATCCTAATAGTTGAGCGCATTATAGCCCTGAGAGAAGAAGCGGTATGTGTGATTTGTTCTAGGTCACACACCACTCAACCTTTGTTGTAATTAATGTTAATTTGGTTGCAAAGGACAAAAATATATAAGCTGAAGTCAAAATAAGGGTCACTGCAAGAATATGAGAGGTAATAGAATATCTTGCAAGAAATACAAGGCCACCTGTTAAAAAGGCAATCACTAGTCACTTCTCTCTCTCCTTTTCCTGTCTCTTGTCTCTCTCTTACCTTCTGTTTTATTTTTTCTCAGTATTTGTCTCATATTTTTTTGCTTCTCCCTGTATACTTGGTATAGCTAAATTCATTTCCGCATATATCATCATTTTCTGCAATAATTTCACTTTGGGTTCCTCTCGACGTCAGCTTTCCCTTAGCTCTGCTTTAGCATTAGCGTTGATTCCAGAGCTAAATCTAGTGCTCCAAGGACTGGCATTCTAAATTTACAAGTTTGAGACATAATCTGGTCCTGCAGACCAACCACATCCTTGAGATGAGAATCTGAGTTTTGGGACAGTGAATGGAGCCTTATCACAGAACAAATGTCTGTCTAGCTAGGCCTGTCATGCCAGCAGGACACTATTTTAAAGAAGGGGATATAGAGGAAAGACAGTTATAATGACAGCATAGAGTCTGGTGAACTCTTTCCTGCTTACAGCTTGTTTTCTTCCCACTACACCAGGCTGTGGGACTGCCTGTGTTCTAATTGTTTTTGTATTCCTATTACCCTTTATGAATCACCTTGAAGTTGCAGATACTGACAAACAATTTGGGTTGATACAACAACCTGAAAGTGAATCAGAATATCATTGGCAGGTCATCAATTTATCCCAGTTTTTCCATCTGAAAGTCAACTTTCAGTTGACTATTATCCATGGTCTGCTTGGGACAAGTCCCACGTTAAGGGCAAAAGGGAGAAAAGAGAATGGCAGGGTTGCTTTCAAGATGATTGAGTAGTGGGCAGCATCCTGAGCTTAGCATGGAGGAGGAGAACAGAGGAACAGAAACTCACTCTGCCATGTGGTTATCTAACATTTCTGTGCAGCTGTCAGAAAAGTTGAAACAACAAAGGGGAAAAAATAAAAAGGCAGAAACAGTGTCAGGAGAGTGGAAAGTCCAAATAGAGGGGCAGACTTTCCCTCTGACCTCATGTCTCCTATGAGACAGAGACTTGGGGACCACTTCTACTTCTATTTCCAGAGCCTCGGAGACATGAACACCAGCATGCCATAAGTTCAGAAATTGGGTAGGGATCTTAAATATTTGGGTATTGTCTCAGCTATTCCTCTTCTGAATAATATATATATATATATTCTTTCCTTAACCCCCCTTTTAAAGCATTTGCTGATGGTATTTCAGAAACCAAAAAAGCAAATTTTAGACATTTAATCTTTCTTTTTCTTACCAATCAGGACTTCTTCCTTCCCCATTTCTCCTCCTTCACACTTTGGAGACCCCCCCAAAGAAATGGAGCTAGTTTACCAATCTGGTCTGCACTGCGATTTGGGTTGGCAAACACTGCAGAGTCTTAAGAACTATCTAATATTTTATTTTCCTCTGCACCATTCCCTCTTCTGTTTCTTTAGTATCTACCATGTTTACAATCCAGTAAAAGGTCATATAAATTTATCAAACCTCTCTCTCTTTTTTCTTTTTCTGTAAAAGAGATGTTATTTTAAGTTATTCTCTTAGTTTTCTCTGATTTTTAGAATGGTTCCTCAGGGCTTTCATTATTTGAGTCTCCCACTGACTTAATCTTCTCTAGAGCAGAATGCTTAGAATTTCTTTGGCTTTAAGCTGGCACATTAATCACTTGGCTGGCCTTAAAGGGTTTAAGGTGGAGCCTGTTCCAATGGAGCATCTCCCTGAGTTGCTGCCACAGCCTCAAAGGAGTCCTATCTGGTCTTCTATGTGGAAAGCAATCTGCCCCCTGCCATCAACTCCTCTGCTTTGCAGCCACAGCACTGCAAGGCAACACTGTGGGAGCAGCTGGGGGACATTCCCAGGAAGAAGGACAGCAATGCTGTGGACTCTGTCCAGAATGAGGACAACTCACTCACAGCTTCTAACTCCAGGCCGTGCTCAGCAAGGGTCATGGCAGAATCTACTTCTGCCCCCTATTCTGCCTTCCCCTCCTTTAGCCAAATCTAATCATGATTCCTCTGTGAATTAGTTGTGAAGTGTGCAGAATAAATGCTTCCCCTATGTTTTCTTTTGATTTTTTTAAATGAGGATTTTAATTTCTGCCCTACTGTTTTCTGACCTCCTGTCCATTCTTTCCTTCCCTCTTCCTTGTGTACAGATAGGAGCTTGAAGCCCTCAGTCATACTCACTAGAATTTTCCTTAGTAATGGTAAAAGATAGCCTTCTTTGTTCTTTAGGAATAAATTTGCTTTGGGTAAATTCTTCCCAAAACATAGAATAAGCAGACTTCTTCTGGAAATTTCAAACTACTTTGAATGCATCTCTTTTAAAAACTTTGCTCATTTCTCCTTGGAAAGCAGAATTCCTGTTACACGGATGATGAATTCCCCACAGTCCCCAACACAATGTCTTACATATATTGTGCTTTCTATGGATATATATTGAATACATGAGTTACATGAGTATAGATATAGTTGCAGAGTGATCTGGTGAATTTTGGTGGATAAATGTCACCTGTTTGGTCAGGCAGAGATCCATTATGCTATAGTTACATTAAAAAATAGGCATACCTTTCACAAGGAGTGCAAGTACAGCTTCACAATTTAATTTCTTTGTTATGGCCTCTGTACCCGTAGCTCAGCAGTTAGGGCACCAACCGCATACACTTATGCAGGCGGGTTCGAACCCCACCTGAGCCTGCTAAACAACAGTGACAATTGCAACAAAAAAATAGTTGGGTGTTGTGGCAGGCACCTGCCGTCCCAGCTACTTGGGAGGCTGAAGCAAGAGAATTGCTTAAGCCCAAAAGTTGAAGGTTGTTGTCTGCTATGACACCACTGCACTCTACTGAGGGCAACATAGTGAGACTCTGTCTGAAAATAAATAAATAAATAAATGAATAAATAAATAAATTAATTAATTCTTTGGTCTGAACAGCGCCTTTTAACATACTCTTCCCCAATCATGATACCATCATGATTAAAACTCTCTCCTTTGCCTCTTTCATTGCTGGCCTTTCTTTCCCTTTACAATTGCTGTTTGATACGATTTCATCACTGAAGACCTGGGCACCCCTTAACTGTGACTCTTGCCCACTCCATAATATATGGTCTGGAACTGGATCTCCCATCCCTTTCTGTCAGTGTCTTATTGTTGGTGTTCCGGGTCTTCCACAAGGACAGGTACACCTCTGTGAGGAGCTTCTGGAAATTACCAGTGATACTTAATATTGTTGGCTCTACTAATGAAGATGATATGCATGGATGACGGCTGAGAAAAGCAAGAAGCTGCTCCATCAAAGACCTATGCATTAGACACCATGTAACAAAATGCAAGATGGCTCTCCCAGTTTAGATGATGCAAAGGAAGGTGACAAAGCATTTGTTAAACAAGAATTCCTCTTGCAGGGCATGGTGGCTCGTGCCTGTAATCCCAGCATTTGGGATGCTAAGGTGATTGGATTGACTAAACTCATGAGTTCAAGACCAGCCTGAGCCAGAGTAAGATCCCATCTCTAAAAATAGCTGAGTGCCTGTAGTTCCAGCTACTTGAGGGTCTGAGGCCCAAGAATTTGACATTGCTGTGATCTGTGATGCCAGGGCACTGTACCAAGTGTGACAAAGTGAGACTCTGTCTCAGAAAAAAAAAAAATTAGACTTCCTCTAAAGTTAAACTGGTACCCCTTTTGCCAACACCTCTCACTCTCAAGTTTTAAGTTCCAATAAATCCTATGTCTGTACCTTCAGCTTTGATCCTTTTTTTTTCTCATGGATGGCAAGATCCTCTCCATCAGGGTTTGCCATGTTTTCATTTGATTAATTTTTTTTTTCCTAGCATACAGCAAATGAGTAATAAATCATTTAACTCTTTCCCTCCTATTCTTGTCCTCATGAATTCCCTGATATTGTAGAAAAAACATGCTTTCTTACGCAAAAAATTTGCAGAAGACACAGTATAGAGTGAAAATGTAAGACAAATAATATGCTTATTCTTACTGAGTTTGCAGTTAATAAAAGTTCTTTATTATTACTTCAAAATGAATCCATTTGGACAATGCCCTGCATCCCCTGTATCTATTGACATAATCCTTTAGCCTGATGATATTGTGCATAGTATATATTCATTACAGCCTTGTTTAGTCACATTTGTGAATCTGGTATCATCTTTACAAAGATTTATATATAGCCAGGCATGGTGGTTCACGTCTATAATACTGGCACTCTGGGAGGCCGAGGTGGGTGAATTGCTTAAGCTCACAAGTTCAAGACTAACCAGAGCAAAAGTGGGACCCCATCTCACCAAAAATAGAAAAAACGAAGTCAGGATGGTTTGAGCCCAAGAGCTGGGGGTTATTGTGAGCTATGAAACCATAGCACTCCACTCAGGGCAACAGCTTGAGACTCTTGTCTCCAAAAAAAAAAAAAAAAAAGAAAAAGAAACAAAAAAAATTATGTATACCCCCCCACACTTTTCTCGTTAAGCATTTTTTAGGTTAGTCCCTTAATTTCTGGCTCCAGTGTCTTCTTCATTTCTCCTTTTCTTATTTCTTCTTTCCCAAACATCTTCCAGTTGTTTTGCTTTCCTTTGTTCATCCCTATTTTCGTTCTCTCTGCACAATACTTTTTTCTCAGCCAAAGCTTTTTTGATTCCAGATAATGAAATCTTGTTCCAAGCAAAATAAGCAAATAGGGGAGAAATATATGTATATAAGGATGCAAATGTGTAATGAAGTAACCAAAGGTAGAAATTAGGAGAAGGGTTTAGGAAACACTGGGATGAGGGACTGAAGATATGGCAGAAATTGAACTTAATTTCTCATTTTCCTCCAAACATGAAAAATGCATGATTTTTCATGTTTATTTTCTATCTTTGTTTTATATTACTGCCTTTTCTGTCTCTTCCCTTCCCTTCCCTTCCCTTCCCTTCTCTCCTCTCCCTTCCCCTCCTCTCCCCTCATTTTCCCTCCCCTCCTCTCCTCCCCTCTCCTCTTCCTTTCTCTTTTCCTCTTTCCCGCTTTCTCTCTCCTCTGTGCCTTCCCTCTTCAAAGTATCCATTCTTTTCTCAAACACATGTAGCTCAGAAGAGTAACTCTATGCCCTGACTCTCCATGGTCTCAGTTTAGTTTAATTAACTGAATTTAATTTTAACTATTTAAAATATTCCTTATTCTCATTTGCAAAAGCATTGGAGAGATGATAAGATCTGAAATGCTGCCCATATCATATGAGGTATTCATTTTCAATATTTTGCCAAAAGTGCAGGGAAGAATGGAGTTGGTATGGTGTGCTCAAGGTCGTATCTTTTAAAAATATTTTCTCTGGCCCAACACTATGGTTGAGTGAATGGGTGGAACCAGTAATCCCAGAACAGGGATCCTGGGCTGAGCATGCGCTTTGATTGGTGTCTTCCATAACTTGTTGGAGTAAAGCTGCTGGGGCTCCCATCCATACTCCAGATTCTCTTCCAACTGTTACTACCAACTTTGCACATCTTTTCCTTCCTGATTCTTAGTGTGTTCTGCCAGGTATAGTTTACTAATTTCATCATAGTTTTATCACTGCCACATCAGTTGTGCAATCAGTCATTTCAACTTCCTCTATCAGAGACCCAAAGCCCAACCTGACCACAAAGTTCAACCTTTCTCTCCTCTAAGGTTCTCAGATTCCCACCTGGAATTTATCATAATTTAGTTTAAAGTATTAGAAATAAATAGAATTAATAGCCAAATTGAAATTAGTGCTTATAAATCAAGTTTTATTATTTTGTGAATGTAATTATTATTTCATACATGTATTTGTAAGTTTCTTGAGGGAACTTCCTTGGAGAATATAGCATGGTACCAGATATCTAATATAGTAAATAAGTCATTTAAAGAGAAATATTTGAAAAAATATTAAAATCCATTGTTGTCTGTTAAACTAAGTAGAAGAAATTTTACTTTAAGGAAACAAATCCTATTCAAGAATTTTAATGAATTATCCACAAATTGAGTCACTAATATGATATAACATAGTTTCCTTAACAATTTATTATTATTATTCTGTACCTTTCTGGGTAACTTTGTTTTAGCCATTAATTTTTACTCTCTATACAAAAAACTAATAAGATAAACTAATAAATTAACAAAGACTACCTTTAAGAACATTCTTTATTTCAGATTTCACTTGTTTACACTTCCAGTGCAATTAATCTGAATAAATGTCTTTATTATATAATTCCCCAAGACTCAACTCTCTCTTTGGGAATTTATAGCTCCCTTTCAAGATTTATTATGGACATTTCTCTAATAAACTTCATATTCTTCCCCTGCAGAAGGAGATCTTATGAGGTTGAACATTTAAGTTTGTGAATTCATCCTAAAAAAAAGTACTCTCTACCTCCATGCTAAATAATCACTATAGTCATATTCAAAGTATTCCCCTTGGGAAGCTATGCACCAATGCCAGTGCCTAGGCCACCCTTCAAAGCAATTTTGGAACTCTTTTTCTCTGGAATGGCCATCAGAGCTGTTGTAAGAGTATTGACAATTAAGTTTGTGAAGTCATCCTAGAAAAAGTGCTTTGAAGGGTAGACTAAGTGCTGATGTCAGTGCTTAGATTCCCAAGGGGGTACTTTGAAGGTAACTATGGCAATATTCAGCAATGAGGTGTATAGCAGTTTTTTCTACAGTGAATTTGTGAACCTCATTGTCAGACCTCATACATGACCTGGCTTTGGGGGCAGCTCACTGTGCCTGATAAAAAAACAAAAACAAACAAACAAACAAACAAAAAAACCCAAATCATTGCAGGAACTAGTCATTATTTATTTGGAAAAGTTGAAAAGTACAGCAGAAAGAAAGGAAAAAGAAATTATTTGGAGATTCCTGTTTTGCACTCTATTTTGATAAATTGAGCCACAAAACAGTGTTTGATAATGAATGTATTAAACTATTCGGCTAATCCATAAGTATTGGTAATTATTCTGCCTCCATAAGCTAAAGTCTGTGGCACATTAAAATAAAAAGAAATAGAAAAACAAAGCTCCCCATGCTCAAGAAATAAAGGGTATAAGTGGAATAGTGACAAAATTTGCATAGCTAATTATATTTTTGATTTTGATTAAATATTGCATTCACCTCTCTCTCTAAAGGCTGTGATGTTTTTCTCAACCTTGTCACAGTGAAAAATGCTGGATGCTGGCAAAACACTTCCTAATTTAGGCCATGCAGACCTCACTGGCTTTATTAGAATTCACATTTGGTCCAAATTGTTTCATTCTATGTATTTTGGGAAGTAATCAGAGGTAGGAGTCAATGGTCTGCACCCTCAGGGAGAGGGAAGAGCTCACCTCTCATACACAGTGTGTCCCACATGGAGATAGGTCTGACTTGGTGCTTGCAGATGTGGGTATTTTTTATGCATGGTGACATTATGTTCCATCCAGCATGGTGCACAGCTACACATCATAAAAAGTGAAACACTTAGATTCCAGCTAGGTCTCTTTGCAAACAATTCCTACTCTCCAGAGAGGGGTAGGTTGGGCAGAGCGTATGGCCTTCAATACTTACCAGTGTTAAGCTTGCTTCTTGGGCCTTAATAATATCTCATTAGATTCTAATACTAGACCCTGAGATAGGTGCAATTATGCTCAGTTGGGAGACAAGGAAACTAATGGTGAAGATTTAAGCAATGTATCCAGGACCAGGCAGTGATCATATATCAGGGCCTATTCAGGTCTCCATGGTTCACCTTGCTGCCAGCATCTAAATGATGGGCACCCATATGATAAGAAAGCACAATATTCATAAGGAGCCATATTCAGAATGACAGTGAAAGAGACTGAACATCAAGGGAAAGAGGCAGCGCCTCAAATATCAGGAACTTTGAAATGGATCCTTAAGTATCTTCCTACTCCTTCCCCCTCCACTGGCACAAAACTCTCAAATGAAGGCATTTAGCTAATTGTATCAATTACAGAAATGGAGCTTATTTTTGTATTTCTTTCTAAGGTGAAATTAAAAGTTTGCATATCCTCTACTTAATTCATTTTCATTGCTATAGAAAAAATGCCTGAAGCTGGATAATCTATAAAGAAAAGTGGTTTATTAGGCTCACCACTCTGCAGATGGTACAATAAATCCAGGGCCAGCATCTGCCTCTGGTGAGGGCTTCAGGGCGCTTCCAATTTTTCAAGAAGAAGAAGGAGGAGCAGGTGTGTCCCACTGTGAGCACAGGTGCAAGTAAGAGAGGAGGAGATGCCAGGCTTCTTTTATTTATTTTTAACTT